GAGAGAGAACGAGAGAACGAGAATGCTCTGTGTAATCACAACCCTTAGGAGTCTGAGGCAGGAGGATTACATTGAGTTTGAGGCAAGCCTGAGCTACAGTATGAGACCTTGTCTCAGAAAAAAAAAAAATTAAGATATTTTAGGGCTGGCAAGATGGCTCTGCTGCCTAGTTTGTTTGTTTGTTTTCCAGGCAAACTTTATTAACATACAAATAAAATATCATCACATGCAGCTCTGTGTGCTTCCCCGTACATTAACAGGTAGACTTGAACTCTAAGTTGCACAGATCAAGATATTTGACCAAATCCATGAACAAAATAAAACTTGCTCTGATCCTTAAAAGATGTTCTAGATCGGAACTCTGGCTTTGCCATATCACTAGCTAAGCTTTGAGAGGACTGGCTTCCCCAGGGCTGGGAGGGCGTATGTTAGGGGGGGTGCCTGGGAGAGGACACAGCCCTCAGTTTCTAGTCAGCTGCCTGTCATGGCCTCTGCTGGCTAGTTTTATGTCAACTTGTCACTAGCCAGAGTCATATGAAAGGAGGGAACCTTGATTGAGAAAATGGCCCCATAAGATCTGGTTATAGGGGACTGGAGAGATAGCTCAGAGGTTAAGAACATTGGCTGCTCTTCCAGAGGTCCTGAGTTCAATTCCCAGCAGCAACATTGTGGCTCACAGCCATCTGTAATGAGATCTGGCGCCCTCAGGCAGAACACTATATATATTAAATAAATTTTTTAAAAAAATCTGATTGTAGGGCTGGAAAAGGCACATGCCACCACTGCCTGCTGTAGGGCATTTTCTTAATTAGTGATTGAAGTTGGAGAGCCCAGCCCACTGTGGATGGTACCATCCCTGGGCTGGTGGTCCTGGGTTCTAGAAGAAAGCAGGTTGAGGCTGGGTGGCAGTGGTGCATGCCTTTAATCCCAGCACTTGGGAGCCAGAGGCAGGTGGATCTCTGATTTCAAGCCAGCCTGAGCTACAGAGCAAGTTCCAGAACAGCCAAGGCTGCACAGAGAAACCCTATCTGAAAAAACCAAAAAGAAAGGAGGAAAAAAAAAAGGCAGGCTGAGCAAGCCAGTGAGCAGTACCTGTCCATGGCCTCTGCATCAGCTCCTGTCTCAGGTTCCTGCCCTGTGTAAGTTCCTGTCCTGGCTTCCTTCAATGGTGACTATGATGTAGAAGTGTAAGCCAAAGAAACCCTTTCTGCCCCAACTTGCTCTTGGTCATGGTGTTTCATAATAGCACTAGTAACCTAAGACAGTGACTTAGTAGTTAAAGGCACTTGCCACCAAACCTGACAATCTGAGTTCAATGTTGTAAGGAGAGAACAATTCTCAGATTGTCTTCTGACCTCCATGTGTGCCAACAGGAATACATACATTACACATACACACACACACACACACACACACACACACACACACACA